CTTTCTCCTCAAAAAAAAGGGGGTGAAAAAAAAAAAAAAAGTCTGTCTCTCTCTCTCTTTAAAAAAAACCAATAAAAAAAAAAAAAAAAAACAATGGGCGATTCTCCCCTGGAAAAAAATAGTCCAAAAAAAAAAAAAAAAAACAGGCACTGGCTGAGGCCAGAAAAAAATTATTCTTAAAAAAAAAAAAAAAGTACTGAGTTCAGTGTAAAGTAAAAAAATCGCTGTGAAAAAAAAAAAAAAAGTGCACAGATTCTCTCTGTGCAAAAAAAAATTGCTGAAAAAAAAAAAAAAAGTAACATCAGCAATTCAAGATTGCTGTCTCTCCTGGCCTACTCAATGCCTCTTTTGGTGCTATGAACTTAAAAAAAAAAACTGTGATAAAAAAAAAAAAAAAAGGTTCCTGTGAATGGTGTTTAAAAAAATGCAGATAAAAAAAAAAAAAAAATACTTCAGTGAGGGGTGGGAGAAAAAAACGGTGTAGAAAAAAAAAAAAAAATCACAACTTTGTTTGTTTACTAAAAAAACCTTTCCTAAAAAAAAAAAAAAATTAGTATGCTATTTTAATTCCAAAAAAATTTAATTTAAAAAAAAAAAAAAATCTTCTTAATAACTTAGCAACAAAAAAAGGGATTATAAAAAAAAAAAAAAAACAATCTACATCACAATAATACTTAATTTCAGTCAAATAGAAACTACAATATACGTCCTTTTCCTAACTCCTAAAAAAAGCTATTATAAAAAAAAAAAAAAATACATCCTACAAATCCAACAAAAAAAAATTGAAAACAAAAAAAAAAAAAAAACATATTTACTACTCCCAGCAAAAAAAAATTGTTCCAAAAAAAAAAAAAAATTATCTAGTGTTACTTCCTTTAAAAAAAAAGATTTGAAAAAAAAAAAAAAATAACACAGTCTGATAGGGAGAAAAAAAATCAAGTTTAAAAAAAAAAAAAAATTTTTTCACCTTCACTTTGGAAGACTAGTTTTGCTGGATACTGAATACCTACCTGGTTGACAGTTTTTGGTTAAAAAAATTTCTTTCAAAAAAAAAAAAAAATCAGGCCTCATGGTCCCCATCAAAAAAAATTTTAAAAAAAAAAAAAAAAAATATTAGTGGTCCCCTATGTCTAAAAAAACATTTTCTAAAAAAAAAAAAAAACTTTGTGTTTTCCTAGTTGTGAAAAAAAAAACTTCAAAAAAAAAAAAAAAATTTTTCATCAAATTTGGAAAGAAAAAAATCAGTATTAAAAAAAAAAAAAAACTCTGCTCTGTCTCTTCTCTCAAAAAAATTTAATCTAAAAAAAAAAAAAAATTCTTCAGAGTATATAAATTCAAAAAAATTATCTTCAAAAAAAAAAAAAAATCTGCCATCGCAAATCTATTGAAAAAAACATCTAACAAAAAAAAAAAAAAAGATTGCCTTTTTTAACTCTAGAAAAAAATTTCCTTCAAAAAAAAAAAAAAAATCTCTTTGTGAAAATACTTTAAAAAAATTTTATTAAAAAAAAAAAAAAAACTCGCTCTGTCACCCAGGGTGAAAAAAAGTGGTGTGAAAAAAAAAAAAAAAAATCTCTGCCTCCCAGGTTCAAGCAATTCTCCTGCCTCAGTCTCCTGAGTAGCTGGGACTACAGGCGTGTGCCACGGGGTTTCACCGTGTTAGCCAGGATGGCCTCAATCTTCTGACTTCATGAAAAAAACACCTTGGAAAAAAAAAAAAAAAGGATTACAGGCGTAAGCCACCAAAAAAAGCCTGTGAAAAAAAAAAAAAAAATGAGTCCTTGTAGTCCTACTTAAAAAAAAATCATTTAAAAAAAAAAAAAAATATTTCTTTGATGTCTTTGTCAAAAAAATACATTATAAAAAAAAAAAAAAATTCTATTGACTGCTTTATTTTAAAAAAAATGTGCCAAAAAAAAAAAAAAAAACACATATAGTTTCTACTGACAAAAAAATTTTCCTAAAAAAAAAAAAAAAATGTTTCTTTGTATATCTCAAAAAAAAAAGCTGAATGAAAAAAAAAAAAAAAAATATAGCAACTCCAGATTCTAAAAAAATCCCGAGAAAAAAAAAAAAAAAATTGTTTCTTAATGGTCTACAAAAAAAAATCTCCCGCAAAAAAAAAAAAAAAATGTCTCTATTATTTTTTGCCAAAAAAATTAAGACCAAAAAAAAAAAAAAACCAGTGTTCACCATAGTGTTTGGCCAAAGACTGTACATTCTGTTCAAACATCTCAAGCCAATAAGGGTTCTAAAAAAAACTGATAGGAAAAAAAAAAAAAAAGAGGACAGCATTTGAAATTCAAAAAAAATACAAGTCAAAAAAAAAAAAAAATCCAGTAGCCCACTTGAATTTAAAAAAAACCTGTTCAAAAAAAAAAAAAAACAGGAACACATCAGTGGCCTGAAAAAAATCTGTTCTAAAAAAAAAAAAAAAACAGCCTCCAGTCAACCTGGGAAAAAAAGGGAATTTAAAAAAAAAAAAAAACTGTCTTACCTCTCAAAACTCAAAAAAAAACTCAACAAAAAAAAAAAAAAACTACTGGCCTCAAACTGGACTAAAAAAATAGACTAAAAAAAAAAAAAAAAATCTCTCTTTACTTGCCACAAAAAAAAAAATTTTAACAAAAAAAAAAAAAAAGCAAGCGATTTCTCTACAACAGTGGAAGCAAAGCTGCTGGTTTTCATCCTGATTGAAATGCTATGCAACAGAAAAAAAAAGAAGGAAAAAAAAAAAAAAAAAAGCACCAGATCACGAATTTGTAAAAAAACTACCCTAAAAAAAAAAAAAAAAATGAATAAAGCTTCTTTGTTTAAAAAAAAAAGTACTAAAAAAAAAAAAAAAACAGTTTTGTCCAGCTTTATGAAAAAAATCTGTGGAAAAAAAAAAAAAAAACTGAATCAGTCATTCCTTTTTAAAAAAATATGTCATAAAAAAAAAAAAAAAAGTTATCGTTCAATTAAAAATAAAAAAAAAGAGTCAAAAAAAAAAAAAAAATATTTACCCACATATTTACTAAAAAAAACACTCTTCAAAAAAAAAAAAAAATTCAAATTAATATCTGGCATTAAAAAAATCCAGTCTAAAAAAAAAAAAAAATTGGTGATAACACTAAGATTGAAAAAAACTCTGAGAAAAAAAAAAAAAAAAACTTTTTTGTTATTCATATGCTATACAGAGATATGTAGTTACAGTAAGCTAGAGATATTAGACTTAGTTTCAAAAAAAATTTGTTGCAAAAAAAAAAAAAAAATTTTTTGCATACATGTACGGTAGGCAGAAGGAGCTGAGTAGGTCTCTACATCCATACTATAAAGAAGCTGCAAAAAAATAATACAAAAAAAAAAAAAAAAATGCTAATAAACTATATCTATGCAGTCCAGACACCATAGTATGTAAGGGATACTGATAACCTATAGTATATAAAAAAAAAACAAAGAGAAAAAAAAAAAAAAATATGAAAAAAATTTTGAGAGAAAAAAAAATGTTTACAAAAAAAAAAAAAAAAGACTTACTGTTGGCCTTTAAAAAAAAAAGACTTACAAAAAAAAAAAAAAAAGGGCAAAGTCAAAACTAAGTAAAAAAATTCTAAGTAAAAAAAAAAAAAAAACATATTTAACAACTTAAAACAAAAAAACTGGCTCTAAAAAAAAAAAAAAAAGTTTCCCTCACTAAGAATGAAAAAAAACTGGTGTGAAAAAAAAAAAAAAAAGTCCCAGCACGTTGGGAGGCAAAAAAAGGCGGATCAAAAAAAAAAAAAAATTTGAGACTAGCCTGGCCAATAAAAAAAAACCCCGTAAAAAAAAAAAAAAAAAAAATTAGCTGGGCATGGTGAAAAAAATCTGTAATAAAAAAAAAAAAAAAGGCTGAGGCAGGAGAATCACTAAAAAAAGGGAGGCAAAAAAAAAAAAAAAACAAGACTGTGCCACTGTACTCAAAAAAAGGTGACAGAAAAAAAAAAAAAAATGAAACAAAAAAAAAAGAATAAAAAAAACGACGACCAAAAAAAAAAAAAAATTTATGTAGAAGATAGACTAGAAAAAAATTCAATTCAAAAAAAAAAAAAAATATAAAAACAAATAGAAAAGAAAAAAAATGGATAAAAAAAAAAAAAAAAAAAATCCAAAATATACATAAAGAAAAAAAACCTCAGGTAAAAAAAAAAAAAAAAGGAAATGGGTCATAGAAACTAAAAAAATAAGAAGCAAAAAAAAAAAAAAAGTTCCAAAGGGCAACAATATAAAAAAAATCATTAAAAAAAAAAAAAAAAAAGCCTGTAATCCCAGCACTTTGAAAAAAAGAGGAGGGAAAAAAAAAAAAAAAGAAGATCACGACCATCCTGGCAAAAAAAGTGAAACCAAAAAAAAAAAAAAAATACAAAAAATTAGCCAGGTGAAAAAAAGGGTGCCTAAAAAAAAAAAAAAATGCGAGGCTGAGGCAAGAGAAAAAAAAAAACCTGGGAAAAAAAAAAAAAAATAAGCCGAGATGGCGCCACTGAAAAAAAGCCTAGGCAAAAAAAAAAAAAAATGTCTCAAAAAAAAAAAAAGCAAAAAAAAACAGAAAAAAAAAAAAAAAAAATGTACAAAGCTATATAGCCTAAAAAAAAGGTTGCCAAAAAAAAAAAAAAAACAAGCTGAAGAGAGAACAAAAAAAAAAAAAAATGAAAAAAAAAAAAAAAAATACATAAAATTAGACTTCACTAAAAAAAGGCTAAGGAAAAAAAAAAAAAAAACAAATATTTAGAAATGACACAAAAAAAACAAATAAAAAAAAAAAAAAAAAGTTCACCAAAATGTAGAATGCAACCTACCTAACTAGAATTTGTACTAACCTTACAAATACCTTAGAATTTATAAAAAAATTACCCTAAAAAAAAAAAAAAAATTACTGAAAGAGGTAAGGTTAAAAAAAATTTTAAAAAAAAAAAAAAAAAAAGGAAATACTAAGGTAATCTCCAAAAAAAAAAACAGGAAAAAAAAAAAAAAAAAAAATAACTTACCTCTTTTAAAAAAAAAGCACTCCAAAAAAAAAAAAAAAGCTGATGTGACCTCTTTTCTGAAAAAAATTCTGCCCAAAAAAAAAAAAAAATTAAAAAAAAAAAAATATATAAAAAAAAATATATATAAAAAAAAAAAAAAATCTACTTCCTAATCTCAAGCAAAAAAAACATATTTCAAAAAAAAAAAAAAAACCAGTTAGAGAACTATACTGAAAAAAATTAAATGCAAAAAAAAAAAAAAACCTGTGAAATGTTTAAAATATAAAAAAATATTCTGAAAAAAAAAAAAAAAAAGATGTCTCTGAGTCATCTTAAAAAAAACGTTTGATAAAAAAAAAAAAAAAACATTAATAACTTAATTATAAAAAAAAAAGGGAATTAAAAAAAAAAAAAAATTGGTGTTTTTAAAGAGAACAAAAAAAATAAATATGAAAAAAAAAAAAAAATAAATTTGATAGAGGTAAAATAAAAAAAAGTATCTCAAAAAAAAAAAAAAAAAGAATGACCTATATTCAAATAAAAAAATAGAGGGCAAAAAAAAAAAAAAATTCTGTACTTGGGGAAGAGTAAAAAAAAGTATTTTTAAAAAAAAAAAAAAAGCATCTTTATATAAAAAACAAAAAAAAAATAAAGGTAAAAAAAAAAAAAAATAGTAAAATATAAGCTAAATAAAAAAAATATAAACTAAAAAAAAAAAAAAACTAAAAAACCTGAACTGTATGAAAAAAAACATAATCAAAAAAAAAAAAAAAATGATTTTCAGTTATTTAGCCAAAAAAATATACCTCAAAAAAAAAAAAAAACACTAAATCCCAAATAATACCAAAAAAAGGTAAGACAAAAAAAAAAAAAAATTAAAAAATTAAACAATAGGCAAAAAAAGGCGGCTCAAAAAAAAAAAAAAAACATTTCGGAGGCCAAGGCGGAAAAAAAACCTGAGGAAAAAAAAAAAAAAACAGCCTGACCAACATGGTGAAAAAAAAACTCTAAAAAAAAAAAAAAAAAAAGTGGCGGGCGCCTATAATCTCAAAAAAATGGGAGGCAAAAAAAAAAAAAAAACTTGAACCCGGGAGGCAGAGAAAAAAATGAGCCAAAAAAAAAAAAAAAAACTCCAGCCCAGGCGACGAGAGAAAAAAACCATCTCAAAAAAAAAAAAAAAAAAACAATATTAAAATATCATCAAAAAAATATGAGAAAAAAAAAAAAAAAAATAAATTAGAAAGGATTAAAAAAAAAAAATTAAAGGGAAAAAAAAAAAAAAATAACTATATACAGCTTTAAAAAAAAAAATTCATTACAAAAAAAAAAAAAAAATGCTGAAAAAGGTATCATTTAAAAAAAGGCTATACAAAAAAAAAAAAAAAATATAAGTTCTTATGAAGAAGAAAAAAATTCTATTTAAAAAAAAAAAAAAAGCTTGTGGAAAACTTTTAAAAAAAAAAAACGTCTTAAAAAAAAAAAAAAAAAAAAACCACTGACAAATGAATAAAAAAAGAATAAATAAAAAAAAAAAAAAATTGGGCAGTTCACAAGTAAAAAAAAAAAGTTAAGTCAAAAAAAAAAAAAAAATATTTTATTCAATCAGCAAGAAAAAAAATAAGAGGAAAAAAAAAAAAAAATAAGTTGCTTATAAAACACTTAAAAAAAAGAATTTCAAAAAAAAAAAAAAAGATGACCTACTCTGAAAATAAAAAAAAATCCAAATAAAAAAAAAAAAAAAAATAAATTTATTCCAAAATTATAAAAAAATTTAGTCAAAAAAAAAAAAAAAATTTATATAACTTAATGTTTTTAAAAAAATACCAACTAAAAAAAAAAAAAAACAAAAATGAAAAGATTAAGGAAAAAAAACTTTATAAAAAAAAAAAAAAAAACAGAAAATGAGTCAAATTTTTAAAAAAATCTTTTTTAAAAAAAAAAAAAAAATTTTTTATTTTTTATTTTTTAAAAAAATTGAGACGAAAAAAAAAAAAAAAACCCAGGCTGGAGTGCAGTGGAAAAAAATCAGCTCAAAAAAAAAAAAAAAACCCGGGTTTACGCCATTCTCCAAAAAAAGCCTCCCGAAAAAAAAAAAAAAAAGGCGCCCGCCACCTCGCCGGAAAAAAATTTGTATTAAAAAAAAAAAAAAAGGTTTCACCGTGTTAACCAGGAAAAAAACGATCTCCAAAAAAAAAAAAAAACCCGTCTCGGCCTCCCAAAGTAAAAAAATTACAGGCAAAAAAAAAAAAAAACGGCCAGCATTTTCTATAATTAAAAAAAATCAACATAAAAAAAAAAAAAAACGTTCATTTTGTACAGCTCTTAAAAAAAAGGACATTAAAAAAAAAAAAAAATCCAACTTACAGATACATTAAAAAAAAAAAAAATTCAAAAAAAAAAAAAAAACTGGCAAGCATGTCAATGGCAAAAAAAACTAAATCAAAAAAAAAAAAAAAATTATCTTCTTTTTTCCTATTAAAAAAATCTTAAAAAAAAAAAAAAAAAAATATTCAATTATTTCAGAGTGTAAAAAAATTTACACAAAAAAAAAAAAAAAAAAAGAAGTTAGTAGTATATGTAAAAAAATGTGAACAAAAAAAAAAAAAAAACAATGATGGATGGCATACATAAAAAAAATCCCAAAAAAAAAAAAAAAAAAAGAAAAATTCCTATTACCTAGCAAAAAAATGATGATCAAAAAAAAAAAAAAACCTAGGCTAATGTGTATATTTAAAAAAACTTTTTAAAAAAAAAAAAAAAAACAAAAAAACAACAAAAACAAAAAAAAAAATAAAAGCAAAAAAAAAAAAAAAAGTTTGGTATGGTTGTACAATAAAAAAATGTTTTAAAAAAAAAAAAAAAAAGAAAAGATCAAAAAGCTAAAAAAAAAAAGTTTATAAAAAAAAAAAAAAAAAGTAAGCTAAGGTTAACATTATAAAAAAAAGAAAAATAAAAAAAAAAAAAAAAGTGTAACCCAAATGTGCAGTAAAAAAAAAGTCTATAAAAAAAAAAAAAAATACCCTAAGCCTTCACATTCAAAAAAAACTTATTGAAAAAAAAAAAAAAAATTCCAGTCCTGCAAACTCCATAAAAAAATATATGCCAAAAAAAAAAAAAAAATCTTCTACCTTTATATATTTAAAAAAAACCTTTTCAAAAAAAAAAAAAAAAAATACCACTATGTAACAACTAAAAAAAGTCTGCAGAAAAAAAAAAAAAAATATAGTTTTGTAGGCTAGGAGAAAAAAACTATGCTGAAAAAAAAAAAAAAAGTAGGCTACACCATCTAGGTTAAAAAAAGTACACCCAAAAAAAAAAAAAAAGCGATGAATGCCTAATGATGCAAAAAAAAGAACATAAAAAAAAAAAAAAAAATGACTATAGTTTTTAAAAGAGAAAAATGACTGAGTTCTCTCAATCATGTGACTATAGAATGCATATAATTTAAAAAAAGTCATCAGAAAAAAAAAAAAAAAAAAATATCCCCCAAAGAGTAGAAAAAAATCCATCAAAAAAAAAAAAAAAAAAATACTCTATTCTACAAATATAAAAAAAAGATTGCAAAAAAAAAAAAAAAAGCTACTAGCCACATGTGCCTAAAAAAAATTAAATTAAAAAAAAAAAAAAAAAACTAAAGTTCCTTAGTCACAAAAAAAACATTTTAAAAAAAAAAAAAAAAACTGTGGCTACTGGCTGTCATAAAAAAAAACACAGATAAAAAAAAAAAAAAATACTGAAGAAAGTTCAATTGGAAAAAAATGTTCTATAAAAAAAAAAAAAAATTTTAATGAGTTATTTTAGCCAAAAAAAAACCAAAAAAAAAAAAAAAAAAACAAATCGATTTAAAGCTGATGAAAAAAAAGTCACAGAAAAAAAAAAAAAAAGAATCCAATTTATTAAACCTGTGTATTTGAGAAATGTTTTACCATTTCAATCAGGAAAATAACACAAAGTAGAAAAAAATCTTTCCTAAAAAAAAAAAAAAAAGCCCCTTCCAACTGGTCTGTAAAAAAATCTCTTAAAAAAAAAAAAAAAAATTTAAATAGTGCTACATATAAAAAAAAACTTGGTGTAAAAAAAAAAAAAAAAAAAGGGTACCACAGTCAAATAAAAAAAGGAAAAATAAAAAAAAAAAAAAATCATTTAAAAGAAATGAAACTAAAAAAAACTTGAACAAAAAAAAAAAAAAACCTATCTGTAAGACTGTTAACAAAAAAAGGTAGTTTAAAAAAAAAAAAAAAAAAA